AGACTTAAAACATAGCTTTTATATTTAGGATTTTTATTTAGGGCTTTTATTTTAATTACTTGCGGTAGCCTTGACCCATTTATTTCCATTTTCATTTAAGACTAGTATATATATGTGTCAAAAAGTTGATTTTTGTTCTGTCTTCCCTTTTGTAATGTCATTTTTCTGTAAAGACTTTTTTTTCTGTTTTTGAGAGTAAATCTTTTTCGTTGCCATTATTGCCTCTTTTTCAGATTTTGCGACAAATTTAATTTGTGGTTCTGCTACAGTTCTCAATTATTCTTTTCTCACGAATCATCTCGTCACAAGCGTGGGTTGCAAGATCGTTTGATCGCTCCCATTTTATTTTTTTACTTTTTCACAATTCTTGATTAAGATTTGTGCATGTATAATTTGATTGAATTTAGTTTTTATTCTTGAATGTAATATTAATCGATTGGTTTCTATTGCATTTGAGTTTTGGACAAATTCGGTATAGTAATCCTAGTTTGTGTCTGTGATTCGTAGATTTAATTCATGTAAGTTTTAATTGCATTCGTTGTCATTTTTTGTTTTTTTTTTTGTTTTCATTTTAATTTATCTCATTTTCAATTCATTTTTAATTCATTTTTATTTTGCTAGGTTAAATTAAATTCGTTTTTGTTTTTAGATCCGTTTTTAATTCAATTTGTTGTTGCCAATTTTATGTTTCTGTTTAAATTCGTAAAAACCACAAAACTTCCAATCTAACCACTATTGCATGCTTAAAATTGGAAACAAAATGAATTTGTGTCCTTATGAGATGACCTAGGTTTGCTCCTTATATTTCAAAATTATTTGAGAAATCTAGTTTTGTTTGAAACCATTATGACATAGTTGTATTCATATTGCATGAGCTAACCGATAACTATTTACATGATTAAATAAGACCTTGAGAACTACTAGAGGCATCGAATGACTGTGATTACAGTGCACTTAAAGTGTGAATCTGGGAATGGAAATGTTAATGAGGTTGTGTGAACGTGTGTAATGAATGAGATATATTATGTGGTATAAATTGTTATTTAATTGTATAATCATGATATTATTATGATCAATGTTATGAGATCTCTGTGTTATATTGTAAAAATAAAATAGACGCTCACTCTTACACCACTCTGCAAGTAGTAAAGATGATAAGACACCCTGGGCAGATTGGCACAGTAAATATTTATGCTAGTAGTAGATTAAATTATGTATTTAGGGAGTATAGACATGTAGTATATTTGTATTTTAGATTACATTTTGAGGAGAATTAGGAATATATATTAGTAGTCTATAATTATGCAATTCCATTTAATTTCCCTACCAGTGGTCAAATTCATCAGTCTCTTAATTTTTATCTATACTAGTAAATAGAAAGGCCTTCTTGGATAATGAATAATGTATTTATTTATCATAATCATAATTTGCTAGAAAGACCTAATAGCTATACATTTAAGAGGTTCCTTAGTATAAAAATGGTGGCTAACTCTAATCATGCCTATCTTAAAGAGGATGATGAATTAAATGCTGAAAACTTAGCGAAAATTGAGGGCTAGTATGATATGGATGAATAGTTTCAAATCCTCAATATGAGAAATATGTATGAATTGCTTTAAATTTTAAAACATTTTGAATAATAATATGTAAATGTAATATACTATGTTATGATTAAAATCTTTTGGCATGTAAATATTGACTTACAAGTATATTTTATGCCATTCATTTTATTAAATTGATCTTATACATCAATTGATTGTTGCAAAAGGTTTTATCTTTATAAATTCAAATTAATTGTTACAAGAGAAAGTTTAATTATTCTTTATAATATATTTTTTAGATTAATATATTTAATATAAAGAAAGGTAGAAAGTGTTATAAGTCCTACTGAATTTTAAAATTATGATTTGTAATTATCTAACTTTTACCTTAATGAAAGTTTATATATATATATATATATATATATATTATTTCAATCTTAATATAAATTTATTCATAAGTTATAATAAAATGATATATAAGTACTTATTCTTTATTATTTTAATACTTATACAATTTATAAACCAAGTAATAAATATAAAAATTAAAATTTATCAAAATTTATATTATGAAGGTAAGTAAATTTATTTCATTTTCTCTTTCAATATAAATTATTTTACAAATTATTTAAATAACATAAGGATATTATAAAAACTATAAAATTATTTATATTTTCTTCTCAAGTGCATGTTCCTTTGTTGTTATTGCAATGTATTTCACTTTCTTGTTTATATTGGAGTAATTTTTTTTTATTTTGATTATATTGAAGAGATGACATGAAATAGATGCTATTTTAGATGCTGTTTAGGAATACGTATACAATGTCACTCTCTTTTAAGATAAATGATTTATTATTTAATTTTAATTGATTTCTATTTATGTACTTATATTTATTTTGTTTTTGTTTTTTTTTTCAAATTTAAAGTGTTCATAAGTTTTTTTTTTTTAATAATTTTTGATATAATTGTTAATCCAACTATCCAAACTAACCCGAGTTGGTTTATGTCAAGTAAAAGAAAAAATAATGTAAAATTGACTCAACTTAATTCATAGCATTTTAATATATTCAAATTATCTTTTAACTAAAAAAATAAATTTGATCCAATCCAATTTGTAAAGAGTCCTCCCTATTATTACAAAGGATAATTCCATTGTCAAATAACTATTTATTTTAAAATTGAATATAACTTAGTTTTGAGTTATTATTTAATTATAATATAACTTTAAATTAATTCAAGAATAATTAAATTATATATTATAATTTTAATGTTATATGGACAAATTATATTTTGATATGTATATAGCATAAATTTAAAAAAATATCCTTACTATTTGTTAAAATTATAATGATGTTAATGTATTATTTATATAGAATAAAAAAATCTCATATATGAATTAAAAAGCATTTTTTTACATAAAGCTTGAAATGAAATGCAAGTATGACGGTTAAAATAAAAATAATATTAATAGGAATCAAATTTAATATTATTTTGAAATAAAAAAATACTATTTTGAATTTCATAAATAATAATAATTATTGTATAAATAACTTTTAAAAATAAGTTTTAGCAAAGGATCATATATATATATATATATATTTATTTATTTATTTATTCAGTTCCGTCATTTTTATTTTTTAATTTAATACTTTAACTTTTTCTAATTTAATTTAGTCTTTTAAGATTTTGTTTAAATTTTTGTTTTAAACTTTGTTTAGTCTCTCGACCTAACAATTTTTGTTAAAATAATATTTTAAACTAAGAAAATATTTGTTTTCCTTTCCAAAAATGGTTTTTTATTTTTAAAAATAAAATTCAATATAAATTTATATTATATTTTTAAAACCGAAAACTATTTTTAAAATAGTAATCAATCATACCCTAAGTGTACTCTTCTACATTTCAGTATCAAATTATTGTTTCAAACTCTAAATTCGTCACTAAAAATTTACTTTATTTCCTGTAAATAATTATTTATTCATCACTAATTCTTGCAGCTTTTTCCATTACAAATACCTAACAACTGCAATAAAATAACCATTATCGATTAACTTTCAAGCTTCTATTATTATTATTATTATTAAACATCTTTTCAATTGATAAAGTTTTAGTAAAGTTAAAAATAAAATATAACAAAAAAAATGATAACAAATAACAGATACGTAAAGTTAAAAACAAAGTTTAATTCAAAAAATAACTTAAAGAATTAAATTAAATTAAAACTAGTTAAAACATTAAACTGAAACTTAAATTAAATATGGAAGACTAAATTAAGAAAATCAAAGAACTAAATTAGAACATAAATTAAGCTTAGAACCATTGTTAAAAAAATTGTTTATAAATAAACAGAATAAATTGCATCATATTTTATCTTTCACAAATGGGAGTAACTTTTAAATTATAGAAACCTGCATTATAATTTAAACATTTTTTATAAGGAGAAAGTATAATCTAAGTATAATCGATCTTAAATTATAAGCTAAGTGCTTATGGGTATTCTTTGAATATTTGTTAAGAAATTTAAAATAAAAATGTTGAATGAAAACTAAAAGCTTTTTCAAATTTTGGTAAATGTTTCAATAAATTTATCTAAAATGATTATCATTTTTAATAATATTTTTTTCTATAACTTCGTATAACTTTAAAAAAATAATTTTTAAGAAAGTAAACCGCATATGCATTTTTGTTAATATATAAAAACTGTAAATAATTTTATAATTCAAAACTAAATTAAACTAAAAATTTTACATTTATTTTATCAAACATATTTTTCTAATTTTTATTAAAATTATAAAAATTGACATCCGATTGTCGTGAACGGCACTCTTCCCATTTTCTCTCGAACGAATTACTATCATTTATACAATATTATTAGAAAGAAAGAAAAATAAAAAAAATGTTTGACAAGATAATAACAAACTCTGGGCACGTGAGAATGCCACTCGCCCACTGTCTTCTTGCTGCTTGACTGAGTTGACTCCCCTTATTGGTAGAATTTTCCTTTTCCGGTTTATTTTTTCTGATCTATTTCTTACCCAAATAAATATAAAATGAAAACTTGGGGAGGAAGCTTCAAGCAATTATTAACCAGTGACCATTCCGAGAGTTCTTTTTGGTATAAAACGTTGTTTTCATTTTTTTAATAAAATAAAAATATTACAATTTCTTTGTTACAGCGTTTTAGACCCCTTTGTTTTGTTCTTTTGTCTTCTCTTGCATTCTTCCTTCCCAACACCGCCACAATGGATAGACCCAAGAATCTCATGGTAAAAATACTCATTTCACTCTCAGCTTTTCGTGGGTCCATTTCTGGGCTCCACTTCCTATTTGCTTATTTATTATTTTTTATGGTTTGTTTTCTTGTTGCTACGCCTGCCATGAACTTAACTTTCTTCTTTTTGGTCACATTGAGGTGGCTGGTGGGGTTTGCTTCTTCTTCTTTGGAGCATTGTGTTATTCGTTAGAACAGGGAAAAATTCTTATCACTAGTTACTAGATTGATTTTTCAGAAGAATCTTCATATAATAAATGGAGTAATAATGATAATAATAATGATTGTAAGAATGAGATTTCATGTATCGCTTGAAAACAGAGTACGGTTACCAGGGACCACCTTAGGGTATAGTTGGCCAGCGTTAACTACAGTCATAGTTATACATATTAAAATTGCTCCTTGATTTGGGCACTAATAGGCTTCGCGCTGGTCACAACTGCATTCATTAGTTACCAAGCTTGAACGTGTGAATCATCAATTCATCATCGTATATGCACCGCGCTTGTTATGGTACTCGCTGAATTTAAAAACAAAATACCAATTTCTTCAGATTATTCTTTTTCCCTTGCAAAGTTGTTTTGAAGTTTATCACGTATAAACTTCACTGGTTGCGATTCATGCATGTTGAACTTTCTTAATCATACGGCATTTGAGTTCACATGTTGTAGTTCCAATTTCTGGATGCTTAATTTTCACCCTTAATTTTGCAATTACAATTTCTGTATTTGCTTCTTACTTTTCTTGGATATCAAGTTTCCTCCAAAGAGAATTCCGTGCCTTGCATTAGGAATTTCTGTCTGAAGAAGTGCTTGCTCAATTGGCATTTGCATTACGTTAGGTCTCTGCATATTTTTATGGAGTAAGATTAATCAGATTAATTACTTGCATGTTCGCTCACAGTGAAGGGAATTTCTGGTTTTGTTATTGCGAGATAATTACATTGAATTTATCAAACCCGTGACACCCAAGATTTGGTGTGAGATCCCCATGTCCTTGTAGGAGCTTGGCATTTGAATTTATGGGTTTATCTTCTAATTTGCATCCTCTGAAATTTCCAAGGAAGGTTAATTTTTTGTTTGCAAGAATTTTACTAAATCCCAACTGAGAGGGTGGTTTGAAGATTTTTGTGTGAAAAACTTAGCTATTCTTTGGAGTTGATATTTATTCATGGGCTCATTTTTCCTTGCAGGTCAGACCTTGTGATATTTGCGGTGATGTTGGTATTCTTGAAGCAATTGTTACTTGCTCTAAATGCAATGTAAATTGTGAACACGTGTAATGATTTCCTGTTTTCTTTTCTTTAGTATTCTTTCTATCTGTATCTTCGATTTTTTTTTTCTGACATAATTACTTTCTTGTTTTATTACCTTGAAGAAACCTTATTAATACTAAATATTCATGGAAAGTGATTTTTGTTCTTTTTGCTGGGAACCTTGAGAACTTAATTCTCAGGGCTTCTTTGTTTCAAAACTTAATGGCATTCTACTGCCAAATGCAATTGGAGCTTTTATTTTGTGATAAAAGAAGAAACATAATTAGTAAAATCAAAGAAAGATTTAAAAAAATGTAAATTTACAATTTAATCTGGGTACCTAATTTTACACACTTTGTTATGACCTGACATTATTGCTTTTGGTTTTTGACTAATGGTCTCGCTATATGCCATTGCAGTATTAGTGCTGCATTTGACCTTATTCTGAATCAATGCTATTTGTGTCCCATTTCAGTTATTGCATGCGGATTAATGTCCTCAAACTTCCAGAATACTGGCTTTGTGAATCTTGCCAAGCTAAACATGTTACAATTTCACCATGTAAAGTAAATCAGGATATTGATTCACAGGCTTCTAAAAGGCTACGAGCTGTTACAACAGGGAAAGTGAAGTTCCTTCATGAGGATGAAGTCATTAAACTTTCCTCTGTTCAATTTTCCATGAAACCTATTACAGCAAATTCTACTTTGCTGACTGCCCGAAAGGCTTCTGTTGGGTCCAAAAATATTATTTCCAAGATTCCCTCCCTGGCACCAAAATTAAACCCGTGCATAACACCTCCTAAGGTACTTGGGAAGCGCCCAAGAGATGGTGGAGCACATAAGAAGCTGATGACTAGTCAGCATGCTTCCTACTCATTAACAAAACGTGAGAATTTCTCTCCATCTTTGCTGCAATTCCTATTATTGAGTGCCCTGCAAAAAGGAGAATTACATATGATACATGTTTTTAAAAGCACACGACTTTAAGTAGAGAATGAATTTTCCTTGGTTTTAATCTAACTGGATGGAATTAAAATGTTCTTGTTGATACCAGCTAAGCCGAGCTTCTTAGACTTACTGTTTGGATACATTTTATTTGTATGGTAAAATTAAACAGAATCAATCTTTATGTTAATAACTTGACTGGATTGTTTTAAGAAAGTTATCATATCTAGTGAACTAGATTTAATTTTCATCCATGGAGTCTGATTGTGTAAAGCAGTATCCACTATTAGTGATATTAAAGCACAGTGTGACTAGTTTGGATAAAATGTTGAAAGCCTTATGCAGGTTTATGATAGATACCCATTAGTTAGTTTGGTTGGTTAGTTATGATATGTTAGTTGGGTATCCATTAGTACTTAGTTATAATAGATTAGTTAGTTAGACTGAATTAGTTGGTAGTTGGGCAGGCTGAGATTTTAGAAGAAATAAGAACAAGGCCTATCAAATACCTGGATTGTACTAGAGTTTCTACCGATAAAGATAATCTTTCTTCAATAATTGAACAGTTTCAATCAGTTTACCATGAGATATTTTATGATTTCTGTTTTGAAAATATGGATCTTGTAGGACTGCCAAAGGAGCATATTGGTGAAAATCATCTGTCTTTGGGTGGACTGATACCTGAGAAAAAAGTTCAAAACGATGATCATCAGAAAGAAAAGCCTACAAAAGGGGCAGCTTTTGAAGCTTTGTCAGCAAGAAAACCTTCACCTATTTTTGGTTCAGGTAGGATACTTTTCTTGTTAAGAATTAATTGTGTTATGTCTGTTGCTTTTTCTGTTGTTTGTTGCATTCACTTAAGTCCTAAAATTTCTCAATATGCAAATGTAGAAATGTATGTTAATGTGTATCATGATATCAGTCACTTGTATCCTCTGAGTTTTGAAACTATCATCTCTTATTTTATTCCTTATGTTCTCTCACCCTGGCCCCTTAGGTGGTATTCTTTGTGCTGATGCTGAATGTAACCGGTCTAATATTAAAAAAAGAAGCCATAAGAATGTTCAAGAAAACCTGAATCTTCATCGCAAATTTTTACCCTCTTCTAGTCCTACCTGGAGGTATGTAGATCTCTTCCCTTGTCATTGATAACTTTTTTCTTTTCCTTAAGTTTCCCTTCCTGTCAAATGAACATCGAATTCCCAGTTGTGGTAACTAATGAAATGAAACTCTCCGAATTTCTTTCAATTTTATCTATAATTTACGATGTCTTTCTAGAAGTTTAAGAAAAAACTGCATTTGCATAGAAGCTATTTGCTTTTTCATGGGTGTACTTTTGTGAACTTTTCCCTTATTTTTAATATTTACATTTGGGAAAAAGTTGCCCCTTCCCTTTACAATGGTAAATAAGAATTGCTTTTGATGAAATCAGCATGTTAGGATATCATAATATGCCATCACAATTGCAAATCTTGGATGCATAATTTTGTTAAATAAAAAGTGGTTAGTGTAGAGATTAAGAGAGAAAGAACATAGAGAGAGAGACAAATTAGTGTGCTGGAATTGGATATTCTATAGTATGTAGAGACCCTTATATTTATAAGGATAAATATGTAACCTTACTGGGCCAAGCCTATTATATAATACTAAAATAAATCCTAATCCTAATACGTTTATTCTAACTATTCATAACACTCCTTTTCAAGCTGGAGCATAGATATTAATCATGCCCAGCTTGTTATAAATATAATTGCTACGTGTCCCATTTAAAGTTTTTGTAAACATATCTGCTAGTTAGTCGCCTATCCTAACATGAAAGATAGATATAAGCTTCTATTGAACTTTTTCTCGAATAAAGTGACAGTCTATCTCAATATGTTTCGTCCGTTCATGAAAAACTGGATTTGACGCAATGTATATCGCTGTTTGGTTATCACACCAAAGTTGCATAGGCTTAGTGCTACCAAATCCTATCTCTTTCAGCATATGTTTCAACCACATTAACTCACAAGTAGTCTGAGCCATTGCCCTGTATTCTGATTCCGCACTTGATCTCAAAACAATGTTTTGCTTCTTACTTTTCCACGAAATTAAATTACCTCCCAAGAACACACAGTATCCGGTAGCAGATTTTCTGTCCATAGATCTTGCTCAATCAACATAAAAAAACGCCTCTATCTATGCATGTCCATGATCTTTGTACATAATTCCTTTTCCTGGTGCTTTCTTCAAATACTTCACAATGCAGATTAGTGCTTCCCAATGAGTATTCGTTGGAGATGAGATAAACTGGCTAACAACACTCACTGGAAAAGCAATGTCGGGCCTTGTGACAGTCAAGTAATTTAACTTGCCTACTAATCTTCTGTATTTCTATGGATCTGCAAAAGAAACTCCATCTGTTGTCAGTTTCACTCTTGGCTCCATAGGTTCTCACATGGTTTAGCTCCTTTTAGTCTGGTCTCAGTCAATAAGTCTAAGATATATTTTCTCTGTGAAAGGAAGATTCCTTACTTGGAGTACATGACTTCAATACCCAAGAAGTATTTTAGAATTCCCAAGTCTTTTGTTTGAAACTTGGTTTGAAGAAATTTCCTTAGGTAGTTGATTTCTTCTTTGTAAAATACTGTATGATCACTCTCACTCCTCATTAATCTAAATTCTAGAATCACGTCACTGAATTTCCCAAACCATGCTCTAGGTGATTGTTTCAAGCCATATAATGACTTCTTTAAACGACATACTCTTCCACACTCCCCCTGAGCAACAAAGCCAGGTGGTTGCTCGATGTACATCTCCTCCTATAAGTCTCCATGTAAGAATGCATTCTTGACATTTAGTTGGAATAATGGCTAATGATGCATAGCCGCAAGAGAGATGAAGATGCGAACATATGAGAGTTTAGCAACTGGAGAAAACGTATCAGTGTAGTCAACGCTGTAAGTTTGGGCATGCCTTTTTGCAATAAGGCGTGCCTTCAAATGAGCCATAGAACCATCCGGATTAACTTCCACAGTGTAAACCCACTTACAACCAATAGCCTGTTTGCCCTCGGAAAGAGGAACCAAATCCCAAGTATCATTCGTCTCAAGAGCCAACATTTTTTCCTCCATAGCGTGTTTCCAACCATCATAACAGAGAGAGAGTATACACTAGCCATGAAGGATTTAAATGTAGAGGATAAATGAACAGACGTCACATAAGAAGAAATAGGATATGTGCAAGATCGCTTACCATTTTGGATAGCAATAGAAAGGTCAAGGTCAGACATAGGATATGTTGACACTTGAGGAGATAATGGTCGAGGTTAAGTATCATCTTAAATATTATTAGCCACGGAGGCACATCATCTGAAGGCTGTTTTGGTCGGCGAGAGTATGTTTGCTCAAAGAACTTGAAACCTGTATCAATAGGAGCTAGAGGTGCAACCGGATGTGTAGATTTGACAAAAGTATAAGTCAAGAAGGGTTCATCTACCTCATGCATGGACTCAAAAGATGAGGACTTAGAGAATGGAAGACTTTCAAAGAAAGACACATTAGAGGAAATAAGATAACAACAAAGATCAGGAGAAAACAATGGTAACTTTTTTGTGACCAAGAATAACTCAAAAACACACATTTGAGGGACTTTGGATCAAGTTTAGTTACCTGAGAACGAACATCAAACACAAGACAAGTGCAGCCAAAAATTTTAGGATATAAAGAAAAAAGAGATTGTGATGGAAAAAAGTATAGAGTGGAGAATCTTACTATGTAACACAGATGATGTCATGTGATTAATTAAATATGCAGTAGTAAGAATAGCATCAGCCCAAAAAATTTTAGGAACTTTCATTTAAATAGTAAAGCATGGGCTACCTCCATAAGATGACGATTTTTATGTTCAGCTACTCTATTTTGTTGTGGGGTAACAATACAAGAAGACTGATGAAGTATGCCATGTTTATTCATAAAATTAGTGAGAGATGTAGAAAAATATTCTTTAACATTATCACTTCTAAGAATGTGTACACAAGTATTAAATTGAGTTTTAATTTCAGCACATAAATTACAAAATATAGAATTAATTTCAGTACATAAATTACAAAATATAGAAAAAACTTCAGATCTAGATTTCATAAAAAACAACCATGTTGCATGAGAATAATCATTTATAAAGGTAATAAAATATTTAAAACCAGACTTAGAAGTAATTGGGCAAGGGCCCCAAACATTAAAATGAACAATTTCAAAGGGGACATGAGCCTTTTTATTTAAACGAGGTAAATAAATATTACGATGATGTTTAGCAAACTGAAATGACTCACAATAAAAATTTAGACTTTATACTAGGACATTATTTCTTAAGAACTCTTGAAGACGGATGACTCAGATGATGATGAAGTTAGAAAGGAGACACTGTTTCATTCTTAGATGTAATAGAAGCTTGCGTAAGTCCTTTTTCTTCCAATATATACAGCCCATTAGATATTCTACCTTCACTAATAATCCTCTGTATCACCAGATCTTGAAAAACACAAGAATCATAAAAAAATGTTACTGACCAATTTAATGATGAAGTGATTTGGCTAATAGACAACAAATTTAAGGGGAATTGAGGCAAATATAAAACAGAGGATAAAGGTAAGGTTGAAACTAGTTAGTACACCTGCTGCCCTTAATATGGACAGTAGAACCATCAGCGAATGTTACAGAAGAATGAGAACTGGGTAGACAAAAAGAGGAAAGGATACTTGAATCTCCAGTCATGTAATCAGTAGCACCAGAATCAATGACCCAACGCCTGGAAGAAGAGGAAAGACATGCAGTAGGATTACCTTTTTGGACCAAAGTGGCTATAGAGGATGGAGACCGCCGTTGGGAAATCTGAAACTGAGTATAGTGAATAAATTTCTCATCATTCATATGCACAATACGTCCTTCTTTCTCTTGAATAGCTGTATCAGGTTGAGACACTGAGCTAGCGAAGGAGGAATGACCTTGTGAGTGAAAAAACGACTGATTCTGCGGAGAATGAGTGCACTGATTCCAATAATGGCCAAATTCGCCACAGTTGTAACACTTTACAATACCACAACCTCCACTACGCCCACGGCAACCCACCATTGCGACCACCACGATGATCGTATTGGATTGCTAAGGCAGAGTGGTCAGGAGACTCATTTTCTATAGTGCTGTTGAGCTCCTTAAAGGGAGACTGCATAATTTTGGAGAAGACATGGTAATATTATCAACCTACTTACTTGACAGAATTTGAGACCGAACTACCTCATATTCCAGATCAAGTTTGGAGAGCCAACTTAACTACCTCATATATGTTTGGCTATGAGATGTAACTATTTGACTATATCTCACTTTTTGAGTATTTGATCTCAATGGGGTTTGTATTTTGTGCTCCATGTTGAGTGGCTCTACATTGCTAGAGGACGAACATATGTTCTGAGTTTTATGAGAATGCCCTTGAGGCTTTACTCCACCATTGAGGTGTTGAGTTTTATTTTTTGTAGATTGTCTTGAGTTAAGTTTTGATTCTTTTTAAGTGAAAAAATTTATACAGGTTACGATTGGGTAGTATGTCATAGATCCTTACCAAAAGGGGTTGTGACATATTACATTCTTTTTCCAAGTATTATCCATGATTATGCCTATTCTGTTCTTTTACATGACTTTTCCTATGTACCAAAGTTTGAAACCTATAGTATTGAGCTCCTTAACCTTGTTTTCAACTCATTTTGTGTCTTGAAGGCTCATGATAATCTTTTTATGATTAATGTCTACCACTTCCAATAACTTTCTTGTCAAAATATCAATATTTCATGAACTAAACCTAAACAAGTGTTCCTGGACTAACTTCTTTACCTATATTAGTCTAGCCAAATGTGAGGACCCTTACCCATTTAACACAACATTCGGGTGCCAATGTAGCTGCTTTAGCTCATTTGACATTGTATTCAAGCCATATAGCACGTTACTTCCAGGTAACGACATACACTGGCACAATATCGTCATGTGTAATCCATATAGAATGTTTCGATAAATTTTACGTTGGTAATACAACCTTCCTCCTTTACCTGGGCTTGGGATTTCTGTTAATAGGTCCCTAAAGGAATAATTGCAAATTACAAGATTTTAACAATTCTCAAGCTTTGTGGCCTGTGGGGACTAGGGTTCCATTACAAATTTATAAATTATAGAAACTTATTTTTAGATTTGTTGAAGTTAGGGAATGACTATGTAATTTAACTGTGGATGTATAGTGTGTTATATTTAAAGAAAATTGAATAACTTGAATTTTTCTTTTTATACAAATCAACCTATTGTTGCATAATAAAAGCATGGTTCTTGTGTGGAGTAATGATACTTGAGCATGCTCTCCGTTATGGACTGCATTGTTGACTTATCCAGACCATTGTCCTCTGATGTGATGCTAAATTGTTTATCATTTACCTTATTTTTCTTTTTTGATCCTGAATCTTTTATTATTGAATTGGAATTTTCGCTGCCCAAGAACAGATTCTTTCAAGAGACCACGGGCTAGATCTTTCTTTATTTCTTTTATATTCAAAATAAAAGCAATTCTAATCCTTTCTTGGATCCAATCTTTGCATTCTCCAAAGTATTATATCTTTTAGAGTTGAGGATGGTACAGGTACCACGTACAATTGTCAATCACTTGAGGAATTTATTGCAAGTATTATGTGACACTTGCAGATGCATTGCATTTAATTCTGTGAAATTTATAGTTTTATTAATCTGAAATTTCATGTGCTGTTAACCATTTTCTAGGGGTCAATTCCAAATTTTTCATGATGCTGCTTCTGGCAAATTTTATGATGGGTTTGAGGCTCAACCTCCATGCATTGTTAATAGTAAAGCATACAAATTTTCAAGTCAAATGCCCTCAGTCCTTCAACTGGAATCACTTCCTGTATTGAATGTCTTAACTGACATATTCCTGGATGATTATCCTAGTCTTCAAGATATTGCATTGTACTTCTTTCCATCAGAACATACTGAGAGGTCAGACTTTACTTCTTATTTTGATGATTGTTTTCCTGTTTTTGTTGTGCCCGGCAATTATTTATTGTTTAAGCTACTTATACTGTATGTTCTCAATTGAGTATAGATCGAGAAAGAACCTGAACAGCATATTGAAGTTTATGAACACTGAGAAATCAATGCTAAGAAGTTGCATTAATGGAGTAGAGTTGTTGGTATTTACATCAAATCAGCTTGATATGGACTCCAGGGGTACGTTAACTGTTTCATGCATTAGCTCTTTTTTACCACTTTCATAACACCCTGATCTACAGCCCCTTTCCATGATTGAATACCAAAATTCAGATTAGAGAGAGCAGGTTCAAAATATTAAAATTTTCTTTTGGAGGTTGTGCTTTGTTGAATTTGTTTTCCCTATTACTTTTTTTCATCTTGGCGAAGATGACATAAACTAGTGTGCACAGGGTATATTGCTGCAGTAAACGCTGGATATTTCCTGTGGGGAATCTTTCGCCAAAAAAAAATTGATAAACCTATTGAAAGAGTACTTGATATGGAGCCAGTTGACATGGAAATTGATATGATTGGAGGAAAGGACGTGAAGGGGAGAGTGGATAATGTTCAAAAAGCTAAAACTATAAGTCGAAATGTCATGGAATGTGATAAATTTTTGGACAATATGGATGTTCCGCCAGGCTTTGAAGCACATGCCAAAAAGTCTTAAAGCTGCCTTGTGAAGAGGAAAGAACAGTGGTATATGGTGGATGAACAGTGTCCTTCAGGACCGGGTGGTAGAGTGCAACCTTCCAAATTTTGAAGAGGAATTAAAAAATCACCAGGTTTTGGTATAATACTACAATGAACTGAAATTATGGTCAGCTTGTTTGTACTGTTTCTGAACTCAAATATTACGAGTCTGACGAGGAATTTGCTCATGGCCTATGTCAATATCGGTAGAAAAGAATGTGCTTATGCTCTTTTTTCTGTCCCCCTGAAAAAGAAAAGAAAAGAAAAGAAGAAAACAATTTGCTCGTTCTTTGGCGAATCCATTTCTCTTCAGTAATTAACTAATTATATGACCTTCCGATATAATTAACATAGCGAATATTTTATAGCAAATATTTTATTTTGGTTTAAGAGATAACATCCTTAAATTCTTTTTTCATAAAGATAATAATTTATAATAAAGAAGAGAAATGAAGTGAATTTTTTTATATTTATAGCTTAAAAATTTTAAAAAAAGTAGAACTTATATTTCTTTTATTCAGTTTATGAAAATTCAAAGTTATTCAAATATTATAAAAAATAGTCTTTAAAATTTTAATTTATAAAGAGTAAAAATTAAAATTTACATTTTTGATAATTTACTTAATTTGTATTATATGCATATAAGTTAAAAAGAATAAATAAACAATACTACCTTTCAATAGAGTAAATTTTTATCTAAAATTGAATGGAAACTACAAATTAAAAGTAGTTAATTATTAAAGTTATAATTACACTTCAAATTATTATTTACAATAAAATTTATCAAAATATTATAAATTTAGAATAATTAACATAAAAATAGTTACATATTTTTGTCAACTTTAAATGGAAACTAAATTAGAATTATTATAATTTTCTAAATTAATCAAAGTCCTAATAGAGTAGTCTTCCCCATAACTCTACTGAGAATATGATTCTAGAATGGATTATCTTTATTTATTCTTCAATTTTATTTTTTGAAAAATAAATTGTAAGGGTAAGTATGCTCCACCCCTTTAAATTCTTTATTTTATAAATGAATCAAGTAATACATAAAACTTTATTTAATACAGAATACATATCCAAATAGCATTAGCTCATATACTACATTAGTAAACCTACAACAGCAGATCAAGCACCATAACAATCACATCAATACACAACATTTCACATGTAACCAAATTCAATCATCTCAGCCTTGAACCCGTACTACTTTATTCATTTCATAGATTAGTATGTCATAATAAGTGTGTTATAACCATATTAATCAATGGATTATGATACATACATTATAATTACACTCGTCGATGTATTATAATACTTGTATTATAATCATACTAATCAATCTGTTATGACTCACTTATTATAATCACACATCTCATAATTCATACTCATTGCCTCTAGGATCCTTTGAGGTCTTTCATAAGTATAGATAGTTACCAGTTAGTTCTTGCACACAGATACAATGTATACAAAAAAGGACCCTTTAGCAAAAATATAGTCAGAAGTGTTAGTCAGGAAATGAGTGTGTGGTGAAATGATGCATTCACGTTTTATAAGATGTGTACACTCAAGCGAATGTCATCCATCACCCTACGTTTCTCTCAGATTTTTCATAAATCGTCTCCATATTCTATACTCTTAGTGTATCTCTGTAACTATCTATACAAATTCTAGTTAGTTTTCATGAAACAATTTTCCTTGGTACTTCTCAAATATTCATATTCATTTCTTTTCATCACTTTTCTCATAATAATAAAATTTCTACTCTTTTTCTTTCTCTTCATAATAAAAATTCACCATACTATGCCATTCATGTACAATTAAATCATCAATCAATCAATCAATCATTTACATCAATTCTCTTTCATAATAATTTCCTTTCACATGCAATAAAGTTCACATTAATTCCTTTCATTACTTTTCACTAATAATAGATTTCATTATTCAAAAATAGTCAAACACTCTTCATCAATTAATTTCACATAATACAAATCAATACAATGTGCCGAAGGTCGGACACCTTCGGACTCAACCCAATTGTATAGTTTAGAAATGCATTGCCGGAGATCACTCTCTCGGTCTTTATGAAAATCGTCTATCCTAAGGTTTATCCCTTTTTTCCAGCATATATATATATATATATATATATAAATATATATATGTATATATATATAACATCTTTATGAAGATCTTCTTAAAAACTCATTCTTAAAAACATATTATGGGTTTTTCATACTCAAAAATCCATTTTTACACTGTATTTGTTAAGAAAATATTAGGGATCTACCATCCTAAGCAAGACAATATGAATTTTAAGCTAAAAACATATATATAGGAGTTAGGGTTTGGGATCAAGTCCCTTTACCTGGAAATGAGCCTCTGAGACTATGTTCTTCACGAGATCTAGAGGAGAACGCAATGTTTCAATCGAAGGTATAGTTCAAAGACTAAATTTTTTCTATATATTACGAAAAAAAGTACTTTTAAGAAAGGAGAAAACAGAGAAATAGAAGTGAGATTGAAAGATTGAGTTCCAAAGAACTTACTTGGGATCAAGAGGAAAAGATGTTAGAGCTTAGATTCAGAAGTGATTCGGGGTATATGGGAGTTTCTCTAAGAAAAGGGAAGGAAGAGAACAGAGAAAGAGAGAAGAAGAGTTTCCTACTTAAAGAAATGGGGTTTTAGAAGCGCAAAATTACTTAAATAACACTTTTTTCACGAATTCTCGCTTGAGCAAGAAAACCAGACAAAAACCACTAGAGGTGGTAAACCCTACCCAACACTAAAATAACCCATTTAGCCTTGCACTTATATTAACTAAAAATAATTAATTAGGCCCTGAATTATTTGGCCCATAATATGTGGGTCAGGGTAGGGATACCCACGAGTTAACCCTGACCCTGAAAACACTCCTAATTTTTATCCATGGTCTAGGAACCCTAATCTTAATATCAAAATACTCCTAAATCCACTCTAATTTCAATCTTCCAAATCTCAAGTTACACAATGGAGACACTATTCATACTCTACTAGTTTCTGATTTTGCAATGCGAGTTATGCACATTAAACACTGTGTGAGGTGCTCATAGCCAAAATCCAGTTTTCGCTTTCCGTCTCTCTCTTCCTCATCAATGGTGGAAGCTACTGAAAAATTCCTGACTCTAGTTGAGGTACTTTTTTTTCTTTCTAAAATTAAATTTAAGTTTCAAGGTAGCATGGATCTTGGTTTACGTATAATGGAATCAGCGACAATGTCTACCTAATATTTGATTCCCTTTGGAGAAGGGTAGAATAAAATTTGCATGTTCATTTAATTAACCATCTATGTTTAGAGCATTGTCTTATTGTTTGAATTGCATAATCAACAATGATGAGATTAATTTTTAGGTCTGTAAGAATGTTAGAATATTATGTATCATGCAAACATCACATATAGTTTGAACATGTCATGCTCTCACAAAGGTACAAAAGAGAAAACTAAGGTTCATGCCACGATGGATCTTGACTAGCTTTGGTCAAGCTTCCCTTTGAGCTTATCCTATGATTGGCCAATTCAGAACACTAAGTAACCAATAATTTTAAATATGAGGAGCCAAATAAATTTGATTCAAGTAATGTATTATACTTTATTTGGTTTGGATTTGATTCAGATAATGTATTATACTTTATTTGGTTTGGATTTTTCAGGTTTGTGTCATTGTTGTGCATATGGGCTATTGAGGAATTTATAACCTTAATATTGTGCTTGTAACTTAGTATTCTCTTGTCACTACCTTATGCTTTTTTGTTTGACTGTTGGTTTTATATTTGCAGAAGTATACATGTGGTTTTCTATATTGAAGTCCTTGTTTCTTTAGAATAATAAATGTGTATTCTTTTATCATATTTTTTGATTGGACAATTTTCATCAAAATGTTACTTCTGTTGTTCAAAATCAGAATGCTTAATATAATAATATATGTTACTTCTATTGGCCTTTGATGCTAAAATTCTTTGTGGGACAAAAGACTCGTGTTTATGGAGTTATATCCACTTTGTACAAGTTCTTATAACTAAGAAATTGTTGTGTTTCATAATAATGTATGAAACTGGTGGTGGTAAGTAATTTTAGGATATTAGATATCTACCTTTGTAAAAGCTATTGATTTTGTATTACTTTTTGGCACAACAGTAATATTCTTTATAATTTTAGAATTTGCATTATATTTGAAGATTCTTTTCATTTGGCTCTGATAAGAAAATAAGAAGGGCATATGAAATATAATTTGTAAGGTCTTTATTTTATCCTACCAAGCCATCCAATCTCTTTGCTTATTAGACAAAGAAACTTTGAAAAATGTCACGTGCAAAACATCAACGTCATTGCTGATTTATTGTATTCATATATTCTGACTGAACCACTTCCTATATTTAATTAAAAGGAAGGGAAAGGAAGGGAAGGGAAGAGAATATATAGTGAAATAAAAAAAGAATAAAAGAGAATATTATAATTCTCTTGCTGAGCAATTTAGAAGATGATATTTTTTATGGGGTCCTCCCATAATTTTAATGCAAATCCTCTTTTTGACTTAAATATATTTTTAGTTCATATAAATAAAGTTGTTTATTTTTAGCTTCATAAAAAAATTTTAGCCTATAAAGCCCTGACCCAACGGGCTTTTTGGCTCATAGGGCTTTTGATTTGTTGGGCATTTTGGCCCACAGGGCTTTTTAACCCTATCTCACATGAGCTAGGGTTAGGGCTGAGTCAGTTGGGCTTTTTGACAACTCTAAAAACTAGTACTTCTCTGCTGATATTTTCGCTTGAGTGAAAACAAGCCTGAGCGATTTCTCGCTTGAGCCAAAGTACAGTTGGGAAATCTGGTCCATTCTCGCTTGAGCGAAAAATTTTCGCTTGAGCTTGTCATATCGGTGTAATTATATGCATTTGTTATTATTCTTATTAATTTGGATTGTGTAGGCTTGAACTATATGAATCATTTATATATTGGAATATAGATATAAAGGTTGTTGATAAATGCCTTCTATACTTGGTCCTATAATGTAATTAATGAATGATAATTGAGATTTTTGAGCTATTCATTGAGAGAATTTATTATTAAGTCCATTTTATTCATATTTCAGGAAAAAAGATCAAGAAGTGAGAGCTTAAAGAATATTGGGAATTGAAGCAAGAAAAGAACCAGAGATATACACGGGCAAGTACATGGCCGTGTACATGAGCGTATATTTCACTGGTTG